GCCACCTGCTTCAGCAGAGCAGGCAGCACCTCTACGAACACGTTCTCGATCTCGTCTATGATTACCCAACGTCTGTGCTGAAGCGCGGTGTAAAGCACGTTTTCGTGTAGCTCTTCGTCTTTTTTCCACCGCGCTGTCTCCCCGTGCGCAGATGAATGTTCAGACGCCCAAACTCGTGCACTGTGGCGCCCCCAGTCTGTGATGCCATACTACTCATGGGAGCCAATTTCTGGAACTGTGAACCGTGGGACCATCCGAGGACTTTCGTGAAGAAGCCCGCGCCGCCCTCGCACAGCCACCTGATGACCTCGTTCTTGCCGCTGCCAGGAAGCCCCAACGCCAGCGCGGGCAGAGGATCGTTCCCATGCAATCGCGGCTGGACCCCGGTTTCTTCAGCTGCCTCTTGGGTGCATCGGTTGATCGCCACTTCCAGGAGGCGTCCCTGCCCCTCGTCGGGCGCCACCTTCTAGGGATGGCGAAGTCTAATTTGGGCCCGCCCGTGGCGTCACTGTGCTGGGCCCCCCCAGCAAGCCTCGAAAGTGGCGACAGTTTCGCAGATCGCAGCCACCCGCAGGCAAGACAGGATGAGACAAGAGGGAGACGGGACGGGAAGGAGGAAGTGGAGACCACACTGCTCTACTCAAAACGAATACCCAACCAAGGAGGGTTGGGAAAAATACAATTCCTCCCCGAAAGTTGCACGAAGTGTAATTCGGAGAACGCCAGCCCGTCGGGTTTATCAGTACTCGTGTAAGACGGCGGCCAGCTGGGGGAGGAGGGGGCGGAGGATGGGGGAGGTGGAGGGGGAGGAGGAGGAGGAGGAGGAGGAGGAGGAGAGGAGGACGAGGAGGAAGGAGGCGGAAGAATGAGGAGGGGGAGGGGGGGGGGGGAGGAGAAGGAGCAAAAAGAGGAGGAGGAGGAGGAAGAGGAGGAGGAGGAGGAGGAGGAGGAGGAGGGGGAGGAGGAGCAGGAGGAGGAGGAGGAAGAGAGGGAGGAGGATGAAGAGGAAGAGGATGGGGAAACGGAGGAGGAGGATAACGAGGAGGAGGAGAAAGAGGAGGATGATGATGATGATGAGGAGGAGGAAGGAAAAATGGAGGAAGAGAAAACCGAGGAGGAGGAGGAACGGAACGGAAGGACCCGCGGGGGAGTACGATGATGATGATAATGATAATGACAATGATGATGATGATGATGATGATGATGGTGGTGATGATGATGATGATGATGATGATGATGATGATGATGATGATGATGATGATGCTGATGATGACGATGATGAGGATGATGATTATGATGATGATGATGCTGCTGATGATGATGTTGATGATGATGACGATGATGACTATGAGGAGGATGAGGAAGACGAGGAAGAGGAGGCGGCAAAAGGAGTGAGATAAGGAGGGAGAGGGGCGGGAATAAATGGAGGCGAAAGAAAGGGCGATGGCTCTGGGAGCTGGGCGGCCAAACGGGGGAAGGTGGGGGGGGGGCTTCAAGCCCCCCTCCCCTTTTGCACCCAGGGAGGGAGGGGGGGGGCTTCCAAAGCCCCCCCCCCTTCCAAAGGGGGGGGGGCTTCCACCCAGCTTAATAAAAGGGAGGGAAGGGGGGGTTAGCTTGAAGACCCCATTTCCGGCCACTTTCTTCTCCCCTGTGTGTAAAATAGGGGGAGGGGGGTAGCTTCCGAACCCCCCCCCCCCTTTCAAAGGGGGGGGGGGGGGCTCCCCGGCTGAATTAAAGGGAGGGAGGGGGGGTAAACTTGGAAGCCCCCACCCCCTTCCGGACCACGAAAAGGGGGTGAGGGGGCGAGGGGGGGGGGGTCCGAAGCCCGAGATAAGGTGTTACTGCGGCCCGTTGGTTGTTACTGCGGCCCGGTGGGTGTTAGTATGGCCAGGGGTCCTCCGGAGTGTATTAATTATCGAGTACGGTGAAGGGGGGGGGGTCCAAAAAGGCTCCGCCCCCCCCCCTTCACCGAAGAGCCTCTCGGAAGAGCCTCTGGTGCTCTCCGAAAAGCCTCTTGGAGCCGCCGAAGACCTTCTTGCAGCCGCCTAAGAAACTCTTGGGCTCTCCGGAGAGCCTTGTGGGGCCTCCGAAGAGTTTCTTGGGGCATCCGAAGCGCTTCTTGGGCTCTCCGAAGAGCGTCTTGGGCTCTCCGAAATACGACGACGACGACGACGACGACGACGACGACGACGACGACGACGACGACGACGACGACGACGACGACGACGACGACGACGACGACGACGACGACGATGATACTACTTTACTACTAATACTACTACTTACGACTTCGACTACGATAGACTACGGGACTACGACTCACGACTTACGACCACGACCACGACACGACCACGACTACGACTATTACTACTTACTACTACTACTATTACTACTACCTACGGACTACTATTACTACTTATGATCTACTACTACTACTATTACTACTACTACTACCTTACTACAACTACTACTACTACTATACTAATTACTACTACTACTTACTACTACTACTACTTACTACTACTACTACTCTACTACTACTATCCTGCTACTACTACTACTACTACTACGGACTTACCTCAGAGCGCAGCTGCACTAATACTACTACTAATACTACGACTACGACTACGACTACTACTCTTACTACTACTACTACTACTACTACTACTACTACTACTACACTACGACTACTACTACTTCTACTACTACCACTACTATTACTACTACTACTACTACTACTACTACTACTACTACTACTACTACTACTACTATTACCACTATTACTACCACTACCACTACCACTACTACTACTACTACTACTACTACTACTACTACTACTACTACTACTACTACTACTACTACTACTACTACTACGACTACGACTACGACTACGACTACGACTACGACTGAGACTACGACAACGACTACGACTACGGCTACTACGACTACTACTGCTACTACTGCTACTACTGCTACTACTACTACAACAACAACTACTACTACTACTACTACTACTACTACTACTACGACTACGGCTACGGCTACGGCTACGGCTACTACTACTACTACTACTACTACTACTACTTCTCGTCGTCCCTAGCGCCCTAGGGCTAGCACTCCCTAGCGCCAGTACTTTCTAGGGCTAGCACTCCCCAGCGACAGTACTTCCTGGCACTCCCTCGGACTAGCACTCCCTAGGAGTAGTATTCCCTAGGGCTGGTACTCCGTAGTGCGAGTACTCCCTAGGACGAGTACTCCCTTGGACGAGTACGCCCTCGGGGTAGTAATTCCTAGGTCTGGTACTACCTGGGGCTAGCACTCCCTGCGACTAGTACTCCGTAGGTCTAGTACTCCCTATGGACGATCTTACCTAACACCAACACTACAGCACCATAGTACTACCACACTACAGCACTACTACCACAATACCAGTACCACAACACCACAACACCGCTACCACAACACCACTACACCGCTACCACAATACCACAACAACAACACCGCTACCACAACACCACTACCACAGCACCACTGCCACTACCACAACACTACTACCTACTAACAACTCAACAACACTACCAACACCACACCACTAACACAACACTGCCAACACCACACCACTAACACAGCACACCACTACCAACACCACACCACTAACACAGCATACAGCACAACCAGCCACTACCAACACACCACTAACACAACATTACCAACACCACACCACTAACACAGCACAGCGACCACCACACCACTAACACAGCACTACTACCACGTTGGTTCCATGTGGGAGTTACTGTGGCCACTTTTGCCTGCGCGGGAGTGCATTCCCTGAAGGGTTGCGAATCTCTCCAGATCTAACATGAGATACCTTTACATATTACTTTTCATTGAGCGGCCTGCGCGGGCCACAGTAACTCCCATCCCACCGCGCGACGAGCCACACTAACACCCAACGGGCCACACTAACACCCAACGGGCCACAGTAACAACCGGTCGCTCCGAAGCCCCCCCCCCCTTTAGCAAGGAAGGGGGGAGGGGGGTAGCTTCAAGCTGGGGCCCCCCTTCTAGTCTGTCGGGCCCCACGAGCGCGGTCTATCGAAAGATGGAGCGTAAACTGCTGGCCGATTTCGGTGGGCGGTCGGGTTCCTAGTTCCGGGTTCCCGGGTTCCCTGTTGCTGGTTCCGTGCCGATTTCGGTGGGAAGTGGGGTTCCTAGTCGATCTCCGTATCGATCGGTCTCTCCATCGATCTGATTACCAACCTCTCCATCGATCTCACTATCTATCTCACTATCGATCTCACAATCGATCTCGCGATAGCTCGCACGAACGATCTCACGATCGATCTCACGCGAGCGACTTCACCATCGGTCTCACGATCGACCTTACTCTCGTCCTCACTATCGACCCCACTATCGATCTCACAATCGATCTCACTATCGAGTTCAAAAAGCCATACCATGAATTTCCAAACCATCCACTGATTGGGGGTTCCCTATGGTGTAATGTCTCCCTTGCATGCTGAGGAAGGTTTCAGCAAGGATGGGGCCTAGGCAACCTTCATCTGGACATTCTCGCGCCCCTTGAGCCAATCCAGCTTGCAGGCTGGAGATGAGCATACAACAGACAAGAATGGTAGCACGAGACATGTGTTCTCAGGGACGCGTTTGGTGTTTCCACGAGCGACTGTAGCCGTATGTCAGACGAGGCCAAAACAGGGAAACCATCGGACAAAGATGTATCGTGAACGTCTGCCATCCCGCGGCTCTGGAGGATGTATCGGGCGCCGCAACCGGACCAGAGCGTTCCAGAACGCTCTGAGAGCACTTTCGAACGATCTATACCTGCCCTGGGCATGCCTGAGCATGCTTGGCGTTCACAGAAGGACATATCCCTGTCCTGGGCCTGCCTGGGTGCGTTTGGCGCTTCGGATGGCCAACTCACCCGCGCGCCAAGACGCTTCAGAGCTGGCCTCCCGCGGCAACCTTTCGCCGAGCGGGGCCGCGGGCTGTGGACTTTCTGCGCCGCCTTCGCCAGGCCCGCGGAGACGTTGGCCAGCTGCTGTCTC